TGCTGTTCCACACAGACAAGGGGCACAAACCAAGGCCACCACGCTGGATGACAGCTGCTGCTCTTACAGTCAGTATATAAAAGAGTTGAGAGGAAAAAGATGCCAGATGAACATCTCTCAGAGCAGCTGTGCTTCCCTGTGCTCAGTGCGGCCACAGCCCCCCGGGGCAGTCACCTTCTCAGTCCCCTGCCCACCATGTGCCCGGCCCATCTCTCCAGGTTCACCGCTCCCTGTCCTTTTTGCTGCTACTGACACCCACTTAGCAACAAAAGTTTATCGAGCACCTCCTCTCTGGCAGGTGCGGTGCTGGGAGCCTTCGCATGTCACCTACAACGGTCCTACAGCCACCACAGATGGCAGGTCCCAGCACCTGAGAGGTGGGGGGCCATCCCTGATAAGAGACACACTCAGGCTCTGAACCGACACACATGTAGCTGCGGAGCCCAGACTTTTCTGAGCCCCAGTGTAGAGAAACTAGTCCTGGGGTCCAGGCATGTACTTCCTTCTCCTCTCTCAGCCTTTGCTCGAGCTGTCTCCCCGACCTTCAGTGCTGCTCCCTCCTCTCCACCTGCCCGAATCCTGCTACCCGGCGGTGAAGTCCTCTCCAAACTGCCTCAGGCTCCATCTGCTCCTAGAACTCAAAGCCCTTCCTGCACCTTTCTCGTCATGCTGCCACGAGGCAGCTCTGGCACAGAGACTGTGCCTGCAGGGCCTGCCCAACTCCCAAGCCATAAGCAGCTCTTCGCAGTGTGGTCTCCGCCACGAGCGCACACGACGAACGACTGACTGGCTGAGTGAACAGGACCTCCACGCTGGAGAGTCCCGCAGGCATCCCAGCAGGCAGGCTCACACCCAGTGCTTGTGCAAAACTTCCTGACGGTCAGGGGATCTGGCTCTGTGTGCGTGCGTGCGTGCATGTGCGTGCGTGCGCATGCACCATGCTAGCACATTGAGGCAGGATCTGACCTGGTCTTCTCCACCATGGAGTCCACTCTGCCTGAACTTCTCCCAGACCCCCATCTCTGTGACCGGCCCTGGCCTCTGTGCAGGTGGTGGGGGCCCAAGTATGGCTGCAGGGATGGTTGACTGGTATAGCAAGCATGGCACCATCGTGCGTGTACGCGCGTGCGCATGCACCATGATAGCACATAGAGGCAGGATCTGACCTGGTCTTCTCCACCATGGAGTCCACTCTGCCTGAACTTCTCCCAGACCCCCATCTCTGTGACCGGCCCTGGCCTCTGTGCAGGTGGTGGGGGCCCAAGTATGGCTGCAGGGATGGTTGACTGGTATAGCAAGCATGGCACCATCTGTGGTCCCCTGGCTGCAGACTCAGTGTACACCAAGAGCTGGTTTGTAACCAGAAACGATCGGACTAGTGATCACCTGCCATGGACTGGGAGCTTGTTGAGGGCAGGGACCACACCCGTTTGGTTCACCACATACCCAGCCCCAAGCTCAGTGCCTTGCACACACTGGGCAAACTCATGCAAGTCACAATCCTAACTTGCACCTGTTTCTCCTTTGTCATAAGACATTAATAGTACCTCCCTCAAGGCATTGTTGTGAAGTTATTTATGACTGTTCATTCATTCATTCATTCACTCACTGCTTATGGTCTGAATGTCTGTTCCCTCGAAATTCACATGTTGAAATTGTAATCCCCAAAGTGATGGTATTTAGAGGTATGGACTTTGGGGGTGACTAGGTCATGAAAGTGAAGCCCTCATGAATGGGATTAGAGACCCCAGAGAAATCCCTTTCCTCTCTGGCCCCATGAGGTTACAACTAGATGGCCCCATCTGTAAATCAGGAACCAGGTCCTCACTAGATATCAAATCTGCAAGTGCCTTGATCTTGAACTTTCCACTCTCCAGAACTGTGAGATAAAGACTTTTTCTTTAAAAGTCACCCAGTCTATGGCATTTTGCTATAGCAGCATGAATAGACTAACAATCGCTTATTTATTTATTTTATTTTTGAGAACCCAGTATGTGCCAGGCTAATAGTTTCTGGTTACGAACCATGATGCGTGCTACACAGGCAGAGCCACATCTGCCTCCCCTATAGTCTGAGAGGGTCCCAAGGGCAAGGACACATCTAATTTGAGTCTGGCCCAGTGGCCAGCCCAGAGGCAAGAAGGGGTTGCCTGGGAGGGTGCTGAGTGAATGAATGAAAGTACTGGAACTCTCTGGAGGGAGAGAAGCCTGCTGCTGTCGTGCTGTGTGACACTGGCCAAGTTCCCAGTGCACTCTGTGCCTCAGTCGCCCCTTATGTACAAGAAGGCAGGACACCAGCTCCATGGGCACTCTTACAGCCTGCTCCTCATCTTCCAGAAAGCCTCGAAGTCCACTGAGCAGTTCTTATGCGGTAAGCAGTGGGGCAGTCGCATACGCACCGGGCCCTGCCGCCACCCCCAGGACAAGGTGTAGGTGGTCTGGTCCCAACTGCCTTTGTTTCTACTTCTTTACCTCCAACCTTCTTGCTGCCACTGTTTTCCTTCTCAGGAGTCTGTGAGTAAGGCTACCACTGACGGTCCCCTACAGGGACCATTCCCACCAGCAGCAGCCATGGCCTGTCCCCATGCTTTGCTCCTATGGTCACAAGAGTTACCTCATGGGAGGTGGAGAGCTGGGCATCCCAGAGCTGTCCTCACGAGCCTGACTCAGGCCCAGGCTGTCACCCCGTCTTCCCAGGGCAGGTGCCTGGCTTACAGTGGTGGGGACAAGGAGAGACTGAACCCAACCCTTCAGCCTGAAGCCTCTGCACCTGCTACCTGAGGTCATTCATACCGCAGAGAGAGAATTCAAAGCTCTCACAATGGATGAACCACAAGAGGTTGTTTCTGGGGGCGAGGAGGAAGGCTTGGAGTTCTGGCCCCATCCTACCTGATCTGCCATGCCAGCCGCTGTGCCGTTACTGAGCAGAGAAAAGGTTTCCAATTCCTGTCAGAGATAGAAGAAAGGTGGGAAGAGATGGAGATTCTGGAAAGATGCTCAGGGTCCCTTCAGTCAGGGTAGCAAAGGAAACAGAACAGGCAGTGGGCTCTGTAGTGCCCTCCAAGGCTCCGGGTCTCCGGGCTGGCCGGGGGTCACCTGCACTGAGTCAGATTTGGGTGTTTTCTTCCTGCAACCATGATCTGAACAGAAAGCTTCCATGCACATGCCCCTGCCACGTGCCAGGCACTGTTCCAGCACCATCGCATTCCCACGAGCCCCCGAGATGGGCACAGTGATCCCACGTTCCAGGTGCCGAAAACAAGGTGGAGCGAGAGCTCAGTTACTCAAGGTCACAACAGAGATTCTGGAGCCATATCCTTTCCTACGTGCAGCTTCCAGGCAAAATGCAGGTGCCAGGTGAACATACCTGGATTTGAATGATCCAAACAGATATCAACATTTCAAATATGCATCATACAGGGCTTATTTGAGAAGCTAAGGCTGAAGGACACCAGTGTCAACACAGGCCATCTCCCTGGTACCAAAGTCAGCCAGGGCAAGGGAAGGAGCAGGTTTTAACAGCTGGTGTCTAAGGTGAGCTGGAAGTTTTGGCTGTTCTTTCCTTTCCCAAAAGCTTCTGAAAGTCATTCCAGGGCTTTCAGCCAAAGGGAGGGAAGATTACCTGCTGTCACTTCCCTCTGTGATGGCCTGGCTGTGGCCACCCTCATTAAAGGCACCTGGTCCCCTCTTCAGATTGCCCCATCTCCACCCCGGCCCACCCCCAGCACCCGGAGCCCACCTACCTGGGGCCTCTTATATGCTTTCCGAACTCGCAGCCCAAGCTTCTGAGCCAGCTCCTGCCCAAGCTGAGTTACACTTTCATCCTGGGAAGGCAAGACACAGGGTGGAGTGCGTTAGTCTGCCTGGTTCACAAAGCCGTGCTGTGGATAGCTGTGCAGCCCTGCAAGGGGGCCTGCCATCACCCCATGTTATAGATAAGTGGGGCCCCGGGAGGGGACACTGGCTGCCCAAGCCACACGGCTACAGGGTGGTGGGGCTGGGACCAGAAACCCATGCTTCTGGCTTTCCCTCCCTGTGGGGAGGGGAAAGGAATGGTTTTTGGTCATCTTCATATTATCTTTGTATTTCCACAACTCAGCAAGTCACAGTGCCACCGTGGAAGGCTGGAATGTGCCCTGGACCACGCCGCCCTCTCCCCAGACTCCTCCCTAGAGGGAGTGCGCCTCATCGG